TCCATGATTCACTGATGATATCAACAGCATCCTTGATGTTATAATTTTTCCAAAATGCTTGAATTGAAGATTTACCATCGGTTTCCTTTATAAGTTGTCGGAAAGTTCGGCGTAGGTAATATGCCTTAAAAGTGACTATTGCACCCTGATCCATTGGTTGGATCAAAGCGGTTGTATTTTTCGGAAGATACTCAATCCTGACATCTTGCGATAGTTCGGATAAATTAGTAGGATGCCCTGGTGCATTATCCAAAATTAGCAAAGCCTTGTTGCTTAAGTTATTGTCTCGCAATTTTTTTTTAATTCTGTACAAAAGTGATTTTTGAACCAATCCTCAAAAGTAGCTTTGTGTTTAATGTGTAATAGTCGGTAATAAAATATGTAAATAAAACACTCACAGACAAGTCTAAACCAACCGCTTTATGAGCACAGAGTACAGACTCAGACTACAGACTGAGATGCCGAGACTGATCACTGACACTGAATACTGAATAACAGTCGTAAACAAATGGAAGTGGAAATAGGAAAGAGGGTGCATTAAAATTGCGTTTGCGCAAGAATGGCAAAATGAAGCCGTTATAGCGAAACAGTTTAGGCCGTAAATCGAAACCGTGCCGTAATTGAACAGGGCCGTAATAGCAAAATGCCGTATAAAGAGCGGCCGTATAGCGAGGTATGGGTGTATTTATTTAAAAAACCCTTAAAAGGGCTACATCAATAAAACAAACGTTTTCGGACCACACAGTCCATCATCAGGTTTTAAAATCGAAAATTGCTAGGTCACAATGCCTGAGCCACCAAAATACTAGGGTAAAAACCCTTTAAATTACATTTAGTTATAAAAGATTATACATTGTGTTGTAAAATAACTGTGATGTTCAGTATTAAATTAAATTTGGCTAGAGGTAACACATGGCTGAAGCGAGTTCCAGAGCCGGTGAGAGAGAACCTCTACACGCGGAGAACAACAATAAAACAACAGGTAATAACCAACAATAAAACAAAGAAAAATTTTGTTGTCAACACTTCCACAAAATTTATTTTAAAATATTATCACTACGGCTGTTTCAGCTGATTGCCTTTCTCAAGTGATCTACTTTTGGTATGTGTTTACACTTTATAGTCTTTAACGAAATAGGTTGAGGATGGGAGAACTGTTTGTCAAGTTGGTTATTTAGAATTATGTCTATATTTTTAATTTGTTGATTTTCGTAGATTATAATTATTATAATAAATTTGAAATCATAAAGAATGATTACGGTCTAGAAGCTGAATTAGAGTCTAGTATCACAGAAAATGTAGATGTCACCACAAAAACTGTATATTGACATCACCAGCTATTTCAGAGACAAAATAAGAACTAAACGGAATTTAGAAATAAGGATTGTCAATATCGGAGGGATTTACACCATTGTAAAACAAATTACAAGTCCAGTTTATATTTGACAATTGATGAGCATACATACCAAATAAATCTGCTAAGTACGGGTTAAAATTGGTTTTGTTGTGCGACATCGCCACCAAGTACCTGGTTAATGCTGAACCGTATTTAGGCAAATCTACCCAAACAAATGTCCTTCCTGTAGCCGATCACTTTGTAACTGTTTTAACAGCTCCAATTCACGGCACTAACCGGAACCTGACCATGGACAACTGGTTCACGAATATTCCTTTGGCAGAGAAATTACTAAAAAGGTCCTATAATTTGACAATAGTTAAGACAATCCGGTATAATAAATCACACATTCCATCAGAATTATTGAAAAATAATAAGCAACATTAGATCAACACGTCTATGTACGCATATAGTAAATTTTGCTTCTTGTTGTCCTGCAAACCTAAAAATAATAAAATAGTGACTCTACTATCCACAATGCATAAAAAGGGAACAGTTAACACAAATACAAAAAACCCAAAACGATAATGTCGTATAATTCCACGAAAGAAGCAGTCGATACGTTTGACGAAATGTGTCAAAATGTGTGCGAACCGCAAGACCAAAAGATGGCCGATGTGCATATTTTATAATATGATCAATATGGCTTGCATCAATGCCTACGTTATTTATTCGCATAACGTTTTTATTCAAGGTGGACAATCCTTACAAATACAGAAGTTTATGATGGAGCTTCATAAAAAACAATTCAACAGAACTTCACCAGACAATTCGCTTAGAAAATAAAAAATTGAACCGTGAATTAAAAAAAAAATGATTTCTGAGGTCTTGGAAAAAGAAGATACTCCCGAAGTCATAACAGAAAACCAACAAGGTCCAAGGAAGTATTGCTTAATCTGTCCCACAACAATTAAACGAATGACGACCACTTATTGCCCAAAATGCAAAAAACCTATTTGCTGTGAGCACCAAAATAGGCAGCGTCAAAACTGTTATTGAATATGTTTATATTCAATAATGAATTATGAATATTTTTTTTTTATTAAATATGTTATAAGTGAAAGTTTTTTTATGTATTTCTGTTTGCAACAAATATTTTGTTAATTTACCACGGTTCTTAGATTTTGTTAATTCAATATACGTAAATTTTATGTGTTAAGAGTATTAAGCGTTTTATTACGTACGAGAGTGGTCTAGGGTTAATTATAACTATTACAATATTTTACCAAAAATTAATAAACATCTAAGCTGTAATAGTTTTGATAAAGTTATAAAAAATATCTTCTAAAACATTGTTTTTATTGCTCAGAAGAATATATGACTCATTGCAGAACATCCACTGAACTGCTTACCATACCTTTGCTATAAATGTTTTTCTGTTAAACCTGTGTGTTTGTTTGTGATATATTTAAGTTACTTTATATATTCCTTTTTTATATACTATTTTTTTGATTTGCTACAAACAATATTATGTAGTTAAATAAATAACTCTTCTAAATAACTTTTTTGGACATTTTGTACCATAATGGAATTATCGACCCATGAATGTCGCATTAAAAACTCACCCTGTATCATATAGATTATATTACTTATATATTACATACTTAGAAAAAGCTTTTTATGTTGGTATTCCAATATATATTTATATTTTAGTCCTAGAATGTATTGTTATTGAAACTGTATTGTAAAATTATAATAAAAACAACTTTTTTGTGACTATATTCTCCGTATTCAATTCACACGTGTATTCGCCATCTCCAGAAAACTCTGCATATCAATACAAATGCTCTTTTTTAACCCAAATTTGATAGAGACGTCGGTTCGTAAAATACTGGATGTTGCATAGGAAAAAAAGGACGTTCTAATTTGCATGATATTCCAGCGTCGGACGTCCTTCGGTATTTGAAAAACGGAATGAAAATATTTGGAAGTCATGAATGAATTATTCAGGCTGGCTTTGAATAAAAATTGTTTGAGTTTACTGAGAAGAATACAAAAGCATGATGCCGTAATGACCTCGATAAATACAAAGGCACTGCTATAAAGCAATTTAGATCTCAAATAACAAATATTTTAAATATTCTTGCATATCCTGTCCATTGAATAATTGTTAAGGTTTTCAAAGATACTTCGGCTTTTGTGGATCGACGGGTTACTGGCAATTCGTACGATTCTTATCAAACAAAAATTAGTACATCTACATTTAAATAAGGCTATTACATTTTTATCATAAAAGTGTTAGGGTCAAATAGAATAGCATGCTCTTCTTCCACTCTAATTGCGGATTTGGTCTCATATGACTCATTTTTTAAAGTAATAAATCATACAGTCTAAATATGTAAATCAAAGACAGTTTTACAATTTGCCAAATAACCTGAAAGCACTCCTCAACAAAAGTTTAGTTCCGGACAATTTATTAGGTTACTTAAAATGTATAAATATGTTACACAAAATCTAACTTAATTAATTGTTACAAATACTCAATTGTTTACAAATTGTAATTAATTATTACAATGATTGATTGTTACAAATGTTATATCTAATATTATTACAAATGTTAAAGGAATGTCGCTAATGTGACATACGGGTAGATGCGACTTTCCACCCACTTTTCCACTAGAGTGGAAAGTCACACTGAAAACTACAATGGTATTATAGAAGCTTCGCTTTAACAGGAAGTGTCTCGACATTTTTTTATCTTTACTGTTTTCCTTTAAACGTTAACGCGTATGATAGACATGTATTGAAATAATTTGGAAAATAAAAAAAATGTTAATTGCACATAAGTCTAGACAGATTAAGTAACTTTTGTTAATGTAAGTCGATACTATTTTAATATTTTCTCTCCCCATTATCTTATCTTTTACGACAGCCCAAAAGAAAACAAGTAAAAAAAAATGTATTTAACATCGACATCTAGATACGACAAAAACTGTAATTATCTACCGAGACAAACAGATTAATGAAAATGTTCATCGTCAGATGTTCCCATCTCGCCAAAGCAAAATTAACTTTTCATAAGAAAAGTTTATATAGCCATCGCTGCGATCAATATAGATAATAAGATTATTAGTGAGATTAGGATTGTGTCTGCGTAGAATGTGGGTATCATTAGGTTTAACTGGGGGATTAAATTTGCCTTGCAGTTGTTTGGGAAAGAACTTGGTGGTTTTATTTGGGAGTAATAGGGACGTTCAACTGTGAGTCAGACCTTTGTAGTTTAGATGGCAGTAATAAAGCAGTAACACGAGAAGAAGTTGAAATGTTTTCAGTTATTTAAACATAACGTAGCATTTTTAATTAACTTTTCAAAGATGTGATGAGATAACTAATTAGGAATATGCAATACAATACCATATCAGGGTTTTTGAATATTCAAAGGTAAACAGTAATAAGATAACATCTCACATTTTAGTGCTACTGTTTGTGTTAAAATTGTTTCTTAAGACTTTAAAAATTGTCGAAACAGTTTATTTTTAATCAGAGTCTACTCTAAATCATTGCGCAAAAAAATTAAAATTTCTTATGAAACCTCTTAGCAGACCTCACGATAATTAGATATTACTTTATTGCAGGGATAAACAGTAGCAAAAGTCTGAAAGGAATGCGTCTTAACGTACCACGAGCAGTACGCGTGGGCCATTCGGTGACTCTTGGTTGTGAGTACGACTTGGAGGGCTCCCCCCTCTATTCAGTAAAGTGGTATCGGGACAGCGGCGAGTTCTATAGATATGTGCCCAAAGAAGAACCGCCCACCAGAGTGTTTCCCCAGCCGGGACTGCATGTTGATGTAAGTAGTTTTATTTCTGTATATAAATAATATTTGAGAGATAAAAGTTCAGTAACTTAAATTTAACTAAAGTATTATTACTATATAGTTTTTATGAAGCAACGATAATTGTCAAGTCAATAAGTCTAGGAGACTTCTTTTCGATGACGAATTAGGTAAACTGCAAATCCAACCTTACTTTTTATTTCGACAAGACATCTACAGTTTACTTTTGAAAAACACCATCTTTTGCATTTTTTACGTAAAGAAAAGATATTAAAATGAAAGCAGACGATTACATTTGTTTTTAATTCAAGCTTTACCCTTGCTCTAAATGTGAAGTATTCACCTTTCATTAGGAGCTCGGAAACCCTAAAGAAGACATTAAAGAGGATGTCGAAAGCTCGATGCACTTCACTCCGGGAGGACTGGTCAATTTAATATTAATTCTTGTAATAGTATTAATCTTTACATATTTTATCTTTGTTAAGCCCTAAATTTATTTATAAGGTTCAATAGGCTTTAAATGCCTAAGGTTAAAAGTTTAATATTCCATTATTCTTCTTCTTCAAGTGCCCTGTTCGTTGCGAACGTTGGCTATTAACATGGCAATTCTGATTTTGTTTGCAGCGCTTCTGAATAATTCGACTGATGTGAGCCCGAACCACTTCCGCAGATTTTGGAGCCACGAGTGTCTCTCCTGCCTGGCCCTACTGGGCTTACTGTCTATTTTCACCTGGACAATCAATTTCAGTAGACGGTACTTATCATGTCTCAATATGTGGCCTAGATATTCAAACTTTCTTTGTTTAATTGTGCTCACGACTTCCTTCTCCTTCATAGATATTTCATTACAATTACTATTTTCATTTATTTATATAAAATACATTTAATATTTTTTCTAGTTATTTTACATATTTCTTAACCACTTCCTTCCAATGATTTCTGTAAAATGTTTTTTATTTCCAGTTCTCAATATTACATATTTGTTATATACAAACTTCTTTTTATTTACATACGCTGTCCTTCCATCTTTTTCTTGCTCTACCTTTTCTTTTATTTTGTATTGGCGTTTGTATTAGAATCATTTTTGGCACCTTTTTCTTTCCCATTTTTTCAACGTATCCTAAATATCGTATTCTTTTTTTTTAATAACGTCGTTATTTGTGTTTCCTTATAAACTTCTTTTAGTTTTTTATTATTTCTTCTTGTTCCTTGACCACCTATTTTTACACCTTCATATATTGTTTTTTTTTGTATTTTTCTTCTCGTATTTTAGCACTCATGTTTCGCATACATATGCAGCTGTAAGCCTGATAAGTGTTTTATACACTCCAATTTTTGTTTTGCTTAAGACATATTTGGATTTCAGTAAGAATCGCAATGCTCCATACTTTTTGTTTTCTTTTGCTATTGTTAGCTTTATCTCCCCTTCCTCATATCCCTTTTTATCTAATTTTACATCCAGATAAGTAAGTTCTAACTCGTTTGAATGTGCATGTATTTTCACCTATCTGAAAATTGTTTTCTTTTTCTTCATCTGTGCCTCCTATTAATATGTATTTTGTCTTTTCCTTATTTAATTCAAGCTCAATTTTTTTTACCTCTTTTATTATATTTTTCAATAATCTTTTAAATTATTTCTTACTTGTGATTAATAGTGCTAGATCGTCTGCGTATGGTATACATTAATGGCCATCTTTAAATATTGCTTTCGTTATATTTATTTTGCTTTTTCTAATAATTCCTTTCAGATTAAAAAGTGTCGTTACCCCCTCTGTGTCTCAGTGGTAAGAGCGCCTACCTTTAAACCTAAAGGTCGTGAGTTCGAATCTCACCTGGGTGGGGAAATTTTTGTCTATTAAAAAGTAATGAATGAAAATAGTTTCTATCCTTGTGCAATCGGTACTCAGCGGAGGGACCGCAGACGTTCGGATATAATTAGCGTCACTTAGCAAAGACAATGACGTCGACTATGCTAAGTATCAAGACAATTACTGTACACACACACATACTACACTAGGTACCTGACTACATGCCAATTATCATTAGTTGTCGAGGCATTAACTCAATAAAAAAAATGATCCATATTTTTGACACAGTACATAAAAAAAGTTTAAAAATAAATTGCACTTATTTTTTGACAAGTTAACGTATCTTCTCTAATGCACACACAAAACAGTTAAACCATTTTTACAAACTGCTAAACTGCTATAGATATACGCACTAGTATAACAATTAGTAGATACTATTATCAGGAAAATTCTAAATGAGTGTTTAATTACAACAATACCGAAATTTATACACGGTTAAACCATTTCTACAAACGCCCATTAGTCAGTAAGGTGTTCTACGAATTCTACGACTTTCACTTCGGAGGTCATTATGAAAATACAAAATATTAATCAATTACAAAAAAATTGTTGTTATTAAAAAAATTATTCTAATAACTAAATTTAATCTGACTCATTTAGACAAATTTTAAATGTACCTGTTAACTCTACTACTTTAGAGAGGTTGTTTTCTTGTGACTAAAATTATTTATTTAATACTAAATACCAAAAGCACGGACGTCAATTATTGGAGACTCTGTATAATACATAGTTTTATTAATATTATCCATGAAGTAGTTACACTTTTTATAATTAAAAAAAAAACCAAAAAGTTTTTTGGGAGAATAGCAATTTAGTTGTCACCAGAACTGACGAAGGTCACAAAAGAGAATCAATATTCTCTTTTACTGTCGAATTCAATTAACACAGATGCTTCTTATATTGGAAGATACTCTGACCTTTACCCTTGTTTCAAATAAGGTGAAATTTCTAATATATTTTCTTGCGTGGTCCATCCAAACTTTAGAATTAATAAAAGTTGCAAGTTTGATGCTCCAAAAGCTCCGGTTTCCTATTGGTACAACTCGATGATTCATTTATTAGATACATAACATATTTGTAATATATGTTGTGTTTCGCATCTACCATTGACTGAAATAAGTTTTTATTTTCAGAATTTTTAATAATTAGTTTAGGCCCTTTTTTTGTCTCTTTAAATGTATATGTATATGTACTCTCTTTCTACTTTCACCCTAAAGTAAATTATTAAACTTGAGTGTAGACATGGATTTATTAGTTTCATGTATTAGTTCGAAGCCAACTGTCAATTGCGATAAGCAATAATTATTACCTTCGTAAAATGCCACTTGTATCAGTATCCAGAATATATCAACAGCGATATACTGAACGGAGGTAGACAAACGCAAGTGCTTTCCATAGACAATCGATCTCCATTGATACCAATCACATAGATTCTTTAAATATGAGGTCTGCCTTCGGCCAACAGATCTTCTTCCTTGAATCTTTCCCTGTATTATGAGTCTTAAAATTTCATATTTTGGTCCCCTCATCACGTGGCCTAGGTATTCCAGTTTCCTGGTTTATATAGTGGTGATTAGTTCTTTTTCTTTACCAACCCTCTCCAATACTTGTTTATTTGTAATTTTAGCAGTCCATGATGTTTTTAATATTCTACGGTATAACCAGAGTTCGAAAGCCTCGATTCTTTTTCAACTGCATTTCTTTTAATGTCCAAGTCTCAGCTCCATATAATAATATTGAAAATATATAACAGCGAATGGTACGTAGTCTGATCTTCAAATTTAAATTTTTTCACGTTAGGAGTGGCTTCATTCGTATAAATGCTGATCTGGCAATCTCTATTCGCCTGTTTCTTTTTTGCAGTATGATCATTGGTTTCTTTGATTAAAATTCCCAAGTACTGATATTTTTCTACGTGTTCTATTACGTTACCATTGATTGTCAATAAGTGATATATATTTTGTGGTATTTTTGTTTTTAGTATGTACTTCGTTTTTTTAACGTTTATAGTAATTCCCATCTCAACACTATCAACACTATTAATATTTAACCTTTCGATAAGATGTTGTAGATCTTCTATACTCGTTGCTATGATCACAGTGTCGTCTGCATATCGTAAGTTGTTAATTAATTCTCCGGTAACGGTAACTCCCGCTTTGATATTATTGAGCGTGTTTTGGAAAATTTCTTTAGAATATAAGTTGGCACAACAAAAGTGGCGATAAAACACATCCCTGTCTAACTCCTCTACAGATCTTCATTTCTTCTGAGTGTTGCCCATTCATTTAAACTATGGTATTCTGGTCTAATATAATGTTTGCACTATATTTATGATTTTACCGTCAATGCGCTTGTTCATAAGTACTGATATTAGTTTTTCATGTCTTACTTTATCGAAAGCTTTTTCGTAGTAACAAAGCGCAGAAGATGTAGATTAATGTTTACATTCCGACATCACTGAATCAATGTGTTGATGGCAAATAGTCCTTCTCGAGTACCCATTCCATTTCAGAATCCGAACTGCGTCTCGCTAATATCCTTCTCTAGCCTTGTGTATATTCTTATATGTAGTACTTTCAGCAGTGCTTTTAAAGTATGACTCATGAGGCTCAGTGTTCGATAATCAGAGCACTCTTTTGCTGTTTGTTTTTTAGCGATGGTTATAAATGCTGACTTCAACCACTCTTGTGGTAGTATTTCCGTATCGTACACCATGTTGAATAAATCTGCCAATACTTCCAAGTTATCCGTTTCCACTGGTTTTGACAGTTCTAGCGGTATTTCATCTAATCCAGCTGCCTTATTGTCTTTAGAGTTTTTGATAGCATTTGATATTTAATTTCATCTATCGTGATCTTCTGTCTCTCTAAAGGATTTAATATTTGTATTTCACCTCTTTCATCTTCTAAAAGTTCTCTAACGTACTCCTCTCATCGTCTTAATTTCTCTGGTAAATCTATTAGTAGTACTCCTTTTTGTCTTTTATGTATCTTTGCTATCTATTTCAACCCATTCTAGTCACTTCTTTAATTTTTTGTGCATATTTCTCATATCATATTTTGTTTCTATTTCTTCTAGTTCTTCTATCTCTTTACATTGTTTCATAAAATAGATTTTTCGCCGTCAATTGATTTTTCGTGTTCGCTG